CAGAGGGGAAGAGGGGGAGGGAGAGAGAGAGACAGAGAGAGAGAGAGAGAGAGAGAGAGAGAGACATCAATGATGAGAGAGAATCATTGATTGCCTCCTGCAGGCCCCACACTGGAGATCGAGCCCACAACTGGGGCATGTGCCCTGACCGGGTATCAAACCATGACCTCCTGGTGCATAGGTTGATGCTCAATCACTGAGCCACACCATCCAGGCTCAGTGGATGTTTATTGACTGTGTTATGGGCCAGCGATTAGTCTAAATGTTGGTGATCCAAAAATGAACAAGCTACAGTGTCTACTCACCATCTAAAAAGTAGAGAAAAATCATCAACAAATAAGCATGTATAGGTATATATTCTGTGAAAGGTGCTTTAACAAAAATAAAGCCTCTGGTGTCGTTTGGGTGCAAAGAAACAAGTCATCACTTCTCCACTGGAAAATCAGCAATGGCCTCTCAGAAGAGGACTCGCACTAAAAATTAAATCCAATTTTGTTTGTACGTAAATATTTACCACAAATAACTTTGAAATTACCTATAAATCTGACTGAAGTGAATGAGTTATGGCATATTGTATAATTTTAATGCTACCATATATAAATTGTGTAATATTTACCTTTATCTTGTGTTGATAACATTTCCTTCCTAAGTAACTTCTCCACCATTTCTGAATAACTGTTGCAACTCTGTGTAAATGCCTGAGTGAAAAATATACTTATTAATATGCTTTCACTGGAACAAAAATATCTCTTTCAACCTGCTTAGAATATACCTTCCTGCAATACAAAAGATCAAATTCAAAGCCAAGTGAATGTGTACTTTCAAAAAGTGGAGAGTTGCCATTCTGGGATATAATTCATAATTTCTAGAAGTAGAAAAAGAAAGGTATAGATAACGACTCAGTATTTCTTTCAGGGCTGCTGATTAAATAATTTCTTTAAAATTTCAAATTATTCTTCAATATTTTACTCTCTAAAATATTTTTTAATTCTAAGACAATAAAACCAGTCACGGTGACATGTTGAGAGGTAAGCCAGGCACTGTTGCTATGAATCACAGAATTTAGAAATAATTCTTGAGGTCAGGAAACGGTTCCCCTCTCCATTCTTTCTTTATATTACTCAGTCTGTCCAGGTGAATGTTGTGTTTGTCTGCTGAATTCAAGACTCTCTTTGCTGCCATGTTTCTAGTTTACTGTGATCAAAGATGAAAACTTCACATTTTAAAATATATTTTTACTGATTTCAGAGAGGAAGTGAGAGGGAGAGAGAGATAGAAGCATCAATGATGAGAGAGAACCACTGACCTACTGTCTCCTGCACGCCCCCTACTGGGGATCCAGCCTGCAACCCAGGCATGTGCCCTGACCTGGAATCGAACCATGACCTCCTGGTTCATGGGGCAATGCTCAACCACTGAGCCACACCAGCAAAACATCACACTTTAATTTGCATGTCTGGTTCCTACTAGCTAATAACTTAAGGACATACACAGTATGATCTCCAGCCTGCATTCTGAATTATTACTGATGAGGCATATTCGTCCTTCACCTTATCCAGGAAAATATTTTTTCAGGATGAAAGGGAAGCTGAAGGACAGGTTGAGCATTGAAGAAAAAGTGGACCAGTTAAGGATCAACTTTAATCCCTTTGCAATAGGAATGGTATCGTTCTGGTATCATTTACCAACTTGTTGGAAAAAATTGGAATAGCGTTCTTTTTGTTTCGTTTTTCTTCTTTCTTACCAGTCAATGAATTAATTGCTATTAATACCAGTCATCTGTCACATCCAGTGGAATTTGAAGAAAAGAATTTTGTCAAGTATGTTTACAATATTGAGAACAGTTGCAAGTCAAGAAATGGTCAATATAATTTAGTTTTCTGATATGTAAGAAAAATGACCAAAATATTTATATTTTAAAAAAGGACATTATAGCCCTAACCAGTTTGGCTCAGTGGATAGAGCGTCAGCCTGCGGATGCAAGGGTCCCAGGTTTGATTCCAGTCAAGGGCATGTACCTTGGTTGTGGGCACATCCCCAGTAGGGAGTGTGCAGGAGGCAGCTGATCGATGTTTCTCTCTCATCGATGTTTCTAACTCTCTATCCCTCTCCCTTCCTCTCTGTAGAAAATCAATAAAATATATTTTAAAAAAAAGGACATTATATAATTCATTACGCTTCATTACAGTAACATAAAAGATTACTTGAAGTGAGCACTACATGCATAAGTTACATTTTGTAAGGAGTATATTTTTATGGTATATCTGAATTTTCAATGACAAAATCAATATACCTGATATACGTCCGAACTTGACATCCTCGGAACCAGCTCTGGATTTTAACTGCTGCATCATTCTCTTTTTTTCTAAATGCATCCACAACACTTAAAGGAAAAAAAAGAAGGTTTTCATTAGTGACTAATATGACTCTAAAGCAAGCCAATCAGTTAAAATTAATCTTTAATCTCTTCCAAAATGGTCATGATCATTCAAACGTCATTTTAAATAAAATTTAAAAAGGTGGCGGGGGCATCTGTAATATTTTCAACAATAATGATAAATTTTTAAAAAAACTAAATAGGAAAAAAGCATTTCAGAAATCAAGAGCTACGTTTAAAAAAATGAACCTTTCTCTGAGGGGCCATGTGCTTTCAACAGGTTTACTTTAAAAAAATTTTTATGATCACTTACTTTGCAACTAACTAATTTGCAAGTGATGTTATAAGAAAATAAAGAAACGGTGTGGTAGTTTTTATTTTTTATTTTTTTTAAACCTATCACGCAGGATTAAAATGTTTGCATATTTCAGTCAATGCATCAGTTACATGAATCGCCTCTAAGTAAAATAAATCTATCACAGAATGCCAATTCTAGATAGAATTCTCAGAAAGTCCATTTCAGTTAAAGGAGGCAGGGGAGAGGGCCATGGGGGTTATAAAGAGATAAAGAGATACAAAATGCAGTCATCAGATCTATTAACTTACAGCCCGAAGAGGTTCAATGAAGACACACTTCCATCTGCATTCTAGCGATCATTACCATTCCCCCTTTCTCCCCTCCATTTGATGCAGTGATATTGCTGAGGGCAACTACTGTGGGCCACAGAGGGATTTCCCTCCCAGAATGCTGCTGGGCACATAATTAGGATTTTATGTTTGCTGAATGAATGAAGAATGGCCAGTCATTTATTTCTTGATTTTAAAAGCAATTCCCTCAGAATTATGTTTTTTGGAGAGAGGTTATTTTTTGTTGTCATTATAGGTTATGTTAAATATATAGACTTCATTACGTTTATTCATCATAATTAGAAGAAAAACAGAATAGAAAGTAAAAACACATGAAACAATAAAAATGCTTAGACAATACTATGATGTTGGCTGACAGAAAGAAAAATAGGATGAGCTATTAAGCTGTCAGTGACAAATAGTTGGAGAAACAAGTAGGTGGATGATAGTTCTAGGTAAGCAGGAGAGTTACCCAGAAAGTCTGACTGAAAAGGACCCACAAAAGCAGAGGGAGGAACCAAAATCTGCATCAAAGGCAGTGATCCAGATGTGCAAGAGTGCAGCCCGCCGGTGTGGCTCAGTGGTAGAGCGTCAACCTATTAATCAGGTCACGGTTCGATTCCTGGGCAGAACACATACCTGGGTTGTGGGCTCGATCCCCAGTGCAGGGCCTGCAGAAGGCAGCCATGTTTCTGTCTCATTGATGTTTCTATCTCCCCCTTTCCTCTTCCTTTCCTTCCTTTCCTTTCTTCCTTCCTTCCTTCCTTCCTTCCTTCCTTCCTTCC